AAATTATTTTGGATCGTTGGATTCTAAATTATTTTGGATTCAGACGATAAAATGTTGAAATTATAGAAGAATTGAAACTGAAATAATTAGAAATAAAATAGAAACAGAAACGGAGTAAGAGAGAGGGAAAACATCTATGGACTACCAATACTCTTGACAGTGACGATTCGACTCTTGCTTATGATGGAGTTTCCCGAGGAAAAATGCTATAGACTCAATTATATCCTGTTAGCATCAGTTGGACTGTGGCCATATCGTAATTCTAACATCAATCAGATTCATTTTGTATTATTATTACTTCTATACATAACATGTATAACAATTCAGGTATCTGTCTTGTTTTAATTTGCATTGTGTACATATACTTTAGAACTTTAGTCATATAGTATGTTTTTTATACAAACTCTATTTAAAATATATATATATATATATATATGTACATAATTTGCATTAACAGATATTACTTACAGTTAATAAAATTATTCGTTACGAAATATACTCTTGATATATTTTTGGAAATAATATCATTTGTTACTTTTTATATGGCATGGATTGCGAAACATATTACTTTTTTGCTATGATGAAAAATGTAAGTTTAACAATCATTTAATCTGAAATTAATTATTATTTGCGGATATTTGTTATATATATATATATATATATATATATAATAGATAAAAATATTCCAATTACGTGTTCGAGATAATTGGACCATTTTGACAAATGATCAAGAGATCAATATAATGCGCAAACATGCTCATATCGGAAAATTGTTTACAATAATTATAGCAAGTAAGTGCCGAATAAATTTTTAATTAATCATTTTCAAATGATCTTGAATTGCTTAATTACATATTGAAAATCTAAAAATAATATGATAAAATCAATAAGCTAGGCTTATTCGATTTTTAATCTTATAATAACACAATTTTTATTAAAATTGATATTAATTATGATAAATAATTACGAAAACTATATAAATAAGCATTTTTCTTTTGCTTCCAAGCATTTACTTAAGCAATTGATTTGCTTCTAATATGATCAGTGTCAGTTTAGATACATATATTATACATATATATATTCATAATTCTATTGAATTTGATATAAAAAAACTTAACTTGTATGCTTTTTTGCTTATGATGCAGCTATTATTCTCTAATTAAATTTTTTAATAACATTTTCAAAATTTCAGCGATAGTTTATTCCGGAATATTTATCTATCTTTTAATACACTATATTCCAAGCTTACTTGACATCGTAATACCATTGAATGAGTCTCGTTCGCGCAAATTTGTAATTCAAACGGAATATTCTGTTGATCAACAAAAATACTTCCATATCCTAGCAATGCACATATATATTACATTAATACTTATAGCAACCACTGGTGTAGCTACTGAAACATTTTCATTAACAAGTGCAATACATTCTTTTGGAATGTTTAAAATTGCTAGGTAAATTGTAAGTGAAATAATATTCATTATTAAATATTTTTTTCATTGCTTCTATTTGTTTTTATCTTACTTTAAATGATATTAATTTATATTAACAATTTTTTTTAATTAGAATCTTTTTGGACACGTACATAAAAGCAAATTTGTAATTTGATGAATTTTAAGTTGTAGAGTGCTTTATTTGTAACATATTTATTAAATTTTTGTATTTGGTTTCTATTTATTATTTTAAAATGTTTATAAAATATAATTTATAATATATAGTATAGACTATGAAAATAATTTAAATTCATTAGCTATATACTACAATAGTATTATAAACTTAATTGTATAATACCATATATTATCTCTTTTGTAACATACAGAATTTTATAGTTATCGTATAGAACATATGCTAAGCGAGAATGCTCCGCAAATATGTATAGCTGAAAAATATACTATATTCCATCGTAAAATAATTGCAGCAGTGGACGTTCATAGAAGAGCACTTGAGTCAGTATGCTATTAATTTTATAATATATTTCATACAGATATAATTATTGCAGCTTTTTCCGATTTTTCGTTTAAATAGAATTTAAATATATTTTAAACAAATTATTTTAAGATTAAATAAAATTAATATCCAAAATATTATTCCTAACATATCATATATTGAATAATAATGTAAAACATCGTTTATTCTGCTAGATTTGCAGAGTTATTAAAAGCAACTTTTGGACGTTCGTACCTGCTTGTAATTACAATTATTATATGTTCAGGAAGCCTTAATCTCTTTTATGTGAGTGACACGCCAGTTATATAATTACTGTTATTATTAATTTTATAAAACTGCAGTTAACGAAACTATGAATTTTACTTACAGCTATATCGATTAGTAACGACACAACAAGGGATATTAGAAATTATAAAATGTTTCCTATTTATAATATGTCATTTTTTGTTCCTAATTCTAGGCAATTTTGCTGGACAGGAATTTATAAACTGCGACAGTCATGTCCATCGAACAATGTAAGAAGTGCAATTATTAATATTCCTTTCTCGGAGGGTATTATATTATATTAAATTCTATAATTTTAAAATACGTTAACGATATACATGTCTACGATGTATTTAGAAACTAATAAATAATTGTGTTTATCATGCAGATGTAATACAAAATGGTACAATGCTCCAATAAAAGCGCAAAAATTAATACTTTTTTACTACAAAAACTACAAAAGGTTACAAACTCGATGCCGGTGGTATGTTTAGTCCTTGCTTGGAAGGTTTACTCGGAGTAAGAAATCATACTATTAAATGGAAATAATTATTATATTGATTAGGTGCTTAAACAATTAAATTTTCTGTTTTAGACCTTAAGTTTATTATTCTCTTTTCTCACAGTTCTATGCTCCATACAATGATAACATGCAACTAATTATATAAAAAAATACGTTTATCAATTTTATTTACAATTTTTATGAAACATGTAATAATATTTTACAGTTACACAAAATTTTACACAAAATTATATATTAATTTAACAACAAAATATTTTTAGTGAAAAATTTGATTAAAAAGAAAGATAGAAACTATATGGTATATGACTTGATCTTATTGTTAATTTCTTTGTTAACAAAGTACATCATATAATTAATTAATTATATTATTTATAATCAAGTTTTTCATTAAAAATATATTATTTAAATATAATATAATTTTGTAAAATTTTGTGTAACATTATTGCATGTCTCGAAAAAATAGATAATAAATAAAAATAAATAGCCGCGTTTAGCTCTTATATTAGCCAGTTCAACTTAAAATATGTATAAAAATAAATAGTAATAAAAATAGAAAAAATAAATAATAAACAAATTTAATTTAAACAATGTACTTATTTGTGCAACTTGAAGAAGAAGATTAACCAAAAGTTCTGATTTTACTGTTTTTTCTTCTTTCTTTCTTTTATTCTCAAAGTAAAAGATTTATGAAAAATTCAAAGAATTTTGTTTTTGTTTCCTTGAAAAAAACATTTATATGCATATAAAAGCATATACATATATGTATATAATTGAATGGCAATATCAACAAATTAAAACTTTATTGTTTAATAGTTTGTATAAAAACTAGTAAGCTAAAAATAATATGCATAAACTATTGTATGAAAATGTGATGTGTTACTTCGAAAAATTTCATTGAAATCGTGTTCCACTTCGTATTGATCTCTCTGTCCTTCTCATTACTTCTAGTGCTCAGTCTCCTTTCTATTCGACTTTGGTCAAATGGAGCATTAGCCGCGTTCGTTATATAGATAACTCATTCAACTGTTCAACAGAATTAAAGTAACATCTCGAACAGACTGAGAATCGTTAGTACAAAATGATGAAAGTGCCTGCGTCAACTTTTGTAGAAAGAAAATTCTCCCTTTTTTCTTTCAATATTATCATTATACATGCACACTTTGTAAAGCGATATTTACTTCACATCTTTTTTCGACAAAGTCTCATCGGAGAAATAAAGTGTATATCGATCGAATTATTACCGGCTCTTTCCTGTACTCAATTCTCGGTGTATACTCAAGTTTTCATTTATTATTTATTATTATTCATTATTTCTATGATCATATAATAGCCCAAGAAAAGTGTAAAAATTTTGAGCTCTATAAGCGAGAATCTTTAATAAAATATGACGGGGAAGAACTCTGGGCTTCCACAATATCTTTCAGCGCAGTCGTGCTTCAACCTTCATGAAAAGATGGACTTTGCCGGTGAACGCTACTACAAGCTCAATCGAATTCTATTAACCGTAATCGGTCTATGGCCATATAACGATTCAACATTCAACAAATTTCAGAGAATATTTTGCATTCTACTATTTGCATTTTCCATATGTGTGCAGGTATTTTTTCTCATATCTATTTACTTTTGATTTTAGGAACACTATTTCCAATACTCAATGATAATAAACGAATGTAATTTATTTACATTTATATGTGTAAGCAAAATATAATTTTTTGAATAATTTTATAATGTATATATAAACCAAATTGTATGAACTATAAATTGAAGAAATATAAAACATTTGTTCTTTTCAATTCTATAAAATATTAATTTTGATAAAACATACGAAGATATAATACGCATATATATTAAACTATCGTTTGTTAAAAACTTTATCAATAAAAATTGTGTGCGTATATATACATGTACGATTTTGAGAGATATATTGTTTTAGATAGGAAAGATCATAACGAGCGTATCAACTTTGGAATCTCTTCTTCAAATCCTATCATTTGTTGTACCTTGTCTAGTATTCTCTCTGAAATATGCCACATTTTGTATAAAATCTAAAGCTGCAAGTTTAATTTACTTATATTATAAATTATTTTATTATATTTATTAAAAGATAAATATTTTATTGTTAGTCAAAATATAAAGTTAATATTTATGTAATAGTTATATTTAACTATTTCCGAGTATTCATCTATTATATTTTATTTATAATAAATAAGAAATCTCAAAATAACATATAAAAATATCATGAATTATTATTGGTAATGATAGATAAGGAAGATGATGGAGCAAATAAAATATCATTGGAATGCAACAAAATGTAAAGAGGAATTAAAAATCTTACAGCGATACAGTAACATCGGACATATGATTGCAATTATGGTAGCAAGTAAGAAATTATTTACAAACTTCAAACTTCACGTCTATATTGAATTATAATCTATTAAATTTAATTTTTTCATTTTTTTTAAATAATTTTAATTGAAGTCAATGTAAATTACTTTCTGTGTTTCGCTATATTGAGATTCATATTGTATTAGTATATTTTTCGCTGATATATAATTTATCTTTATCTTTAATTCAATCGATTTTTTTCAGCATTGTTCTATTCATGCATATACATATTCATAACGATGCAAATTTTTCCCAAAATCCTTGATGTAGTGGCACCTTTAAATGAATCACGTCCATACGAACTTTTAGCTATAGCCACGTTTTTTTTCGATCAAGAAAAATATTTTGTTCCAATATTTGTGCACATGACAGTGGCACTTTCAGTAGAAATAACTACGATAGTGGCTACAGAAACAATATGTTTGATATATATGCAACACGCTTGTGCTCTATTCAAAATTGCCAGGTAACGATCAGTAACAGAAAAATTAAATTAAGTTTATTCGTAAAAACTTGTTGAGTTTTGCAATTGAGACAGAACGTATAACAAAACTATCAGTTTTACAGCATATTTTTATGAACATATGTTCCATCGTATTTGCACATTATATGCAGGTACTAACATGCATATTTTATTCCTGCAGTTTTCGCATAGAGCATGCATTTGATTGCAAGATACACATTACTGTGGCGAAGAAAAATATGATATATTATACAAATATAATCAACGCGATAATTATTCACAATCAAGCTATCAAGTATGTAGTAATGATATTTTATGATTAATTACATTAGAAAAGTTACACTAGAAAAAATATTTCTCAGTAGAAAGAAATTGGATTAAATTTTAATGAAACGATCGAAAAATAAGCAATATATGATTAACATGCAATTTATAAGAATTAACAGTAGAATATTGTTAAAGGTTTTTCGAGTATCTCAATTCCCACTTCGAGATATCTTATTTCATATTGCTTGTGTTAGGTGTATGTTCTTTAAGTATCAATCTCTTTCGTGTGAGTATTATGTTTTATAATTGTATGATATGCACTGAATTCATTACTATGCGACTATGCGACATAAAATTAAAATAAAAATTTGTCGAATATAATAATAAAGCACATCTTCTATTTTCAAATATTTGTGTTTTTTCATTAATATAATATTTTTAATATAAGATGTAAATATAATATAGAAAATTGGTTTTTTTATGATTTAAAATTTATTTTTTTTGCGCGCACGTAACAGCTTTTTTTAGCAGGATTTAAGAACAAAATGGAAGAATTAATTGCGGCTGGACTATTAGTTTTTTGTCATTTTATTTATATGTTTATAAGTAATTTTGTGGCACAAAGAATAACAAACAGCAGTGCCGACATATTTTATAAAACGTGAGTATTATTAAATCAGACTAATGTTTTATTATTTACCAGTAAATCACTATGATAGAAGTTTTTGCAATAGCAATTTTGTGTTAACGATAACAAGCATTATAGATCTCAAATTAACAAAAACTACGTAAACCAAGTAAATGTGTGCAAATCTTACAATATTATATGAAAATATTATATATAATATATATATATATATATAATATAAAAAATTGTAAATGATCTCAAATTGTATTAATGGTATCAAATATTAGTTATTTTATTTTTAGATGCGAATTGCCTTGGTATTCCGTTTCTGTTCAATTGCAAAAACTGCTCCAATTCATAATGCAACGAAGCATAAAAAGCTGTAAATTTACAATGCTCAGCTTATTCGACGCATCGCTTGAACGTTTTGCTTCGGTGAGCAATATGTACCAAAAGCTTATGTTAAAAAATATTGAAACTATAACTAGTGTAATATATAAATTAATAATATCTCTTGTGTACAAAATTCACTTAAAATTTATAAGTTGCAATAATTTTGCATAAAATTACGGCAATATATATGTAATATATAATAAATAAAGCAATCATTTATATTATTTATTTAAATGAAAAAATATATTGTGATATATTTGATTTTTATCAAAATGCAATCAATGTGAAAGATATATGAAAATTAAGTTTATTAATATACATTATATGCAAATTCTATGTGAATTTAATAAATTTTATCAATTACATATAATAATAATAAAAATAAGAACAATAAAATAGTAATAATAATACAAACATATATTGATTTTAATAAAATATTTCATATTTTAGCTCGTGAGCGTCTCTTTATCTTATTTCACGGTTTTTTGGTCAATACGACATTAAAATTTCTATGGATGAATGCGCATAATAACGCAAAAACAAAAGTCCTTTTCAAAACAATTACCCAATGCTAGTCGAAATATAAGATCACATGTAACAAAACAATTATGATTCACTTATTGAAATTCAAGCCAAATCGGCATCTTAGAATTCACTGTAGCATGATTATACTAAATATATTGCTTATCGCACAAAATATTTCATAAATCATTTATACAATTTATTTTATTTTATGCAATTCATGTGTAATAATACTCATTGTTTGATCTCCGTTTTTCTCGTAGATACAGAAAAAAATTTCAACAGGTGGTTGCTTTCGATAAATTGTAATTGTGTTGTAATACACATATAAAATTATTTAAAATATTCACGTGTTATTTATAAAAAACAAGAGTTATAAAAAGCTATTTGTTAATTAAAAAATTTCAATTCAAACACACGAAAATACACATATACAGAATTTCTGTAGATAAACTTTCTCTAGAGAAAAAAATATATATGTAGGTATACATATGTGTATATTAGTAAGAAAGATATTGTGTATGTACATAATATCATCAAAAATAAATCAAACTTCTATCCAAATGTGCAAATAGAGAAGTTGAAGAGATAAAATAATTAATACAGGAATCTGTCAACTTATTTAGCATGAAAACAATTAGTTCATTCGCGTAACGCATAAAAATTCAAAGCAATTCAAGTTAAATAGATAAAAATAAAACATTTATAAGATCCTGAAAATAATGTTAAGAAAATTTTATATATAGAACATAGGGAATAAAATATTAAAAATAAATGATAAATAAAAAAATAAATAATATAAATATGAGAGAAAAGAGAAAGAATATCTCCTTCTACAAATTATTGTACATAATTACTAGCGTTTCATATCTAGCGCGGTAAACCTATATCAGCACTTACATTTTTTTTTCGTTTCATTTCGAGTAGTTACAGTTCATTTATCCACTAATATTATTAAAAACATCGTACGGAAAATGTGATAAAAAGGCTTCCGGATATTTTAAAACGGAAGGATAAAAAAATACGCCTTGTGTGATTGTATATGAAAAAAATAAATTATTGAATACTAAATCTATTTAATTTAATTCTGATACAACTTCTCTCGATTTTTCTTCTGTGGCATCTATAAATAAATCTCATTCACAACATGTCCAGTCATGATCGAGTGTTTTATAAATAAGCAAAAGCATTTTGTATCTTTTTGTTTTATACATCCTTTATAATTTTGTGTCCAATCCAAGACATGTTTTCACTATATTCACTAAGCACACACATCACACCATTTCAATAATTATAAATCGTATAGCGATTTTTTAAAATTAATCTCGTATAACGTTAGCACTATTTTAGAGCCGCGAGAAGAGCAACCGTAGCGTCTCGCGTCTCAAATAGGAATGAAGAGACGTCAAAAATATGCGAATGCGACTTTGCAATTGCGCCTGCGTCGATCGAAGAGAGAGAAACATCAAACGTACACCGCGAGGAAAATATTTAATCGGTTTATCGTGCCAGAGAGAGAGAATAATAATGTGTTTTTCGTTCAACGTTCTATTGTATAGGTGTAGAGTCTAGGATATAAGATAAATTATAATTTTTGCACCTAGTGTAGTATCATAATAGTTCACACTATATCGGCACGTTATTTCGAATGTGCGGAAATGCGAAATTATAATACACAATCGAACATACCAAATCCAAGTAATAGCTGGACAAAAGAAATTGAGCACAAACGTGTTACAATATTTGCAGCAAATTGGCAAGATTGTACTGCGAGTAATTACTACAAGATTAATAGAATTCTGTTACTGTGTATTGGTTTGTGGCCGTATCAAAATTCTAGTTTCAAGCCTATTATAATAGCATCTACGACCGTAATACTTATATCGAGCGTAGTAATTCAGGTATGAAAAATCACTTCTCTTGCATAATTTATATTACAGACTAATTAATTCTCTTTGAACAATTTGATATAAAGATGAGAAACGCGGAAAAATATGCGCGTTTTTTTTAATATTATTCTATTATTATATAATATTATATAGTATATTATATATATATTAATATTATTAAAATAATTTTCTTAATATTATTCTAATAATATTATATGATATAAAGATTAAATACGCGTAGTATGCACGCTGTAAAACAAAATGTATAATTATTCTTATGAAAAGTGGTACGTAAACGCACAATAACATCTATACAATTTTTTAAATAAAAATTTTACAATTTAAAATTTAAAAAATTGAAATTTTACATTTGCATATACTTATTTATATATTGTTCGAAGTTTTATTCTAATAAGAAAAATGATCGATAATTTTAACGTAAAAGTAAAAAATAAACGAAAGAAATGTCATTTTCAGCTTACGACTTTTATCACAACAGAATATACCTCGGATCTTCTTTTACAAATTCTCGCATACAGCGTCCCATGGTTTATTTATACATTAAAGTATAACATTGTTTGCTTCAACATTAAGAAGGTAGGTGCATTTGCGAATCAAACGCGTTTTTTATCAGTAAAAGTAATCATGGTGAGTAATTATTATCGTTAAACTTAGATGCGAAACCTTATGGAACAAATGCGACATGACTGGAATAATTTAAGCAACACACAGGAAATAGAAATAATAAAAAAATACTGGGCTATTGGACGATTCATTACATTAATTACGACATGTAAGCAGCATCTCGAATAGTTTTTTTTTGCGCTCCACATTTCATAATGATTTTTCAATCATTACAGTGTTTATTTATCTATCTGTATTCAGCTTCATTCTGATACAGTTTTTATCAAACTTTCTTCTGAACGTCGCAACGACTGTAAACCAATCTCGCTCACGACGGTTACCGGTCAAGACCGAATATTTTGTAGATCAACAAAAATATTTTTTACCACTTTTATTACACATATTTCTGGTTGTTTTGTGTGGACTAACTACAGTGGTAGCCATCGAGACGCTTAACATGTCATATGTTCAACATGCGTGTGGATTGTTCCAAATATCAAGGTAAAGCAACATTTTAGAGACATTTTAAAAACGAAACAATTGATATTAACAAAGTTCATGAAAATTTCATTTAAATGATCAATTTTAGTTATCGCATAGAACAAGCATTACATAAAAACAAAGTGTTACAAGGTGTTACATCCTCTGCCGAAAGAAGTTTAATTGTACATGAAGGGATAAGCAATGCGGTCATTATGTACAAGAGAGCAACAAAGTTCGTAATTAATGATTCATTTTTAATTGAAAGTTTCTTCTCTTGTAAAATGTGATTTCTCCTCTTTCTTCAATTTTCAACGAAATTAATGTATAAAATTATGTATATATATATAAACTACGAAATTTCATATGAGAAATCAAACGAGTCATCAGTAAACGTAATTAATAGCATTAGACATATGTGTGTCTGTGTATTTATATTTATTTCATTCCGCACCATGTTCTTCAAGGTTTATAAATATGTTGAAGGCAAATTGCAAATGGCAATATTTTATATTAATTCCGTTTGGAGTACTGTCGTTAAGTATTAATCTCTATCGTGTGAGTATTATTGATATATGCTTACCAATAGTAATGAAGCTGAGTAATGAATGCATTTTATTTTGGTAACGTATATTTATTCCTTGCGAAACCAAATTATTATTACTTGTGTTTCTCACAGTTTTCTCAACTGGTAATAACCAATGAATATTACGAACTGATCATTAGTAGTCTGTTTATCGTTGGCCATTTTTGGTATATGCTCTTCTGCAACTATTTAGGACAGGAAATAATCGATCATAGCGGCAATATCTTTTACAGAACGTGAGTATAACGTGTATATTATGGAATAGAGTAAATCAAAGCGTACCAAAAACGCAAAGTTTTCAGTTACGGTTTTCTGCTCATAACTTGTACAGATACAACACAGAATGGTATATAGCGCCATTAAAGGCGCAGAAATTATTGTTGTTTGTAATGCAAAGGAGCATGCGACATACTACGTTCGTTATTGGTGGTTTGTTCGTTCCGTCGTTTGAAGGATTCGCCACGGTAGAATCCCTTATAATAAATTTCTTGTCAAAAATACATTTCTTTTAAACTTCCTAGATGAACAATTCTGTTTTAGCTTACGAGCATGTCAATTTCATACTTTACGGTGATCTTCTCCACTCGTTGATCGTCGTCCTTCCCGCGAAATAAGACTAACACGTTATATAATTTCACAAACTAGTTCTGATACTTGTTGACTTATTGCAAGTACAAATATAGTAAAGCAATTGCTTCAACGAACTGTTTTCATTATTATGCATAAAGTGAACATTGAAATACAATGTTCTATTACCAACATCATTTCTTAATTTTTTAGTTAATTTTCTTTCACAGGATAATTACTACGTTGTCAGTTACATTCGCATTTAAGAATATTGCGAGATACTAAGAAATATTAAGAGATACTAAGTTTTCTTATTGTCATTATTTAAATGAAAGTGACTAACGCAATGGTTTCACATAAAGAAATGAAAACAGACAATTTCGGTGACAGAAAACGGAATTTAAAGCGCCTGCGCTGGAAGAAATGAAGAAAATTATGTACATTACCCTTTCTCTCTCTCTCTCTCACCAAACACCTCATTCTATCACTAACGCGAGAATGTATTATTTATATACAATTCGCGGACTCACGTATGCCTATATTACTATCTTTCATTATCCTATAATATAATGATGATAAAATCGCTTCCTTGATAAACTTCCGATATTTGCTATTTTTCGCTATTTGAAGATTACATTTAATACCATCTATAGTTCTCGGTTTCATAAAAAAATATTGCACTAAATAAAAGAAATGGTGGGGAAAATAAGAATCTCTCTGTAAAATTCCATCGACGGGACAGTATTTCGATTGTGTCGCGCGAATATGGAATTTGCTGGGAGTCGCTATTACAGACTCAATCGAATAATGTTCACGTGTCTTGGTCTATGGCCATATTATACACGATGCGCTCACTATATTCATTTCATCTTTTTATCTCCTTTTCTTTTATCTGGTCTCGTTTTTCAGGTTTGTGATCAATCGTTGATAAGCGCTTATTTAATTAAGGTGCTAAATAAAACTAATTGCTTATTTTTATGTATTTATTTCTTCAATCGTTGCATAAATTTGTTTTTTGTTCAATTGTTTTGTTCATTATTACCATATCTTTATATATTATACTTATTTTTCCAATTTATTTGGTAATTTATATTTAGCATTTAATTAATCGTTAATCTTCCTTTAGCATGCGACTAAGATATATTTTTATTTAATACTTTCTTAACATTTATTTATTATCTTATAATTTGTACATCAAGATTTCAGAGTTAAATGTTTTTATTAACACATAAAAACTAGAGACTAATTTTTATATATGTATATTGTATAAATATTAGTACAAATTCTATTATTAACAGTTGATGAAAAATTAATTTCAGTTATCAGCGTTTATCACTAAGGAATACAGCATGGAACTTTTTTTAGATATTTTGACATTTTCTGGTCCCTCATTAATTTGTATATTTCAATATTTTAATTTATTTTTTCATAGCAAAACAGTAAGCAACAAACTTATATATATGCTAACAATAGCGATGAAATATGTTTTGTAAATTCATTCAACATTTCTTCAAAAATACATTTAAGATACATTGATCATTAATATCTCATCTTAGACAAAAAACCTTTTCGAACGAATACGATACGATTGGAATTCTTTAAAGGAGAAAGAGGAACTTCAAATCCTACGAAAGCGCGCTAAGATTGGAAAACATTCAATATTGATTTTGATACGTAAGTCAGAAAGAATCAAATCGTGAAATAATGATTGATACGATCACGGAATTAAAAACGAAATTAAATTAAAAAAGACTACCTCGATTGTTACAGTATTGACGTACACAATGTTATTTATATGTGTGTTAATAATTTTTGGGCCAACAATTCTTAACATCATAGTACCGTTAAACGAATCGCAGCAATCAGTATTGCATTTACCGAACTCGATGGAATACTTTATCGATCAGGAGAAGTATATTTATTTGTTAACAATTTACTTCTTTCTGATAGTCTTCGTCGGCGCAACCGTATTAATAACAGCACAGTCGTTTGGTGTAATGTGTATAAACCATACATGCGCAATGTTTGAGATTACTAGGTAATTGTGAATTCTTAAAAATGATAATAAATCGAGTATTAAAATTGTAACATTGCATTAATAAAAAACAATGTCCTGATACGTACTAACATAATTGAATTCTTCCAGTTATCGAATTGAATGCATGGTAAACAGAAGCCAGATGAATTCATCAACTATCTCAAAGTCTGATACTTTTAAAAATATCGTAGAAGCTATCAATAGTCATCGGAAAGCCATTGAGTCAGTTTACAATTTATAGAAATTTGTTAAAACTTACAGAATTATCGAATATTATTTATAGGATTTTTTTCTGAGACAATTAATTCTTGTTAATTAAAAAATATATATAAGATTGTTACAATAGAAAACTATTTTGTACTCAGATCTACACTCATGCTGATTCTAATAATTTCTTTGAAGGAAGAATATGTCTTTCATTATGTATTCTATACTTTTGTCTAATATAATGCAGAAAGTATTAATTTCTTCATGCGAATATTTTTTCATAAGTTAACAATCATTTTCTAAACATCAAATTTTCAAACTACAATTTAATTATTGTTCAAGATACGCCGATTCTTTGAAATTAATGTGTGAATCTAGTCACTTGCTCATAATTCCTGTAGGCACAGGAGCGTTAAGCATTACTCTGTTTCGCGTAAGTCTTTAAAACAAATAATTGCATCCTTAATATTATATGATGATTCTTAAAAGTTATAAATTTTGTAGCTTTGTGAATACATTACGGCAGATATTATCAACATTGACAATATAATAATATCATTCTTTTACATTATCTGTCATTTGGCCTACATGTTTGTCGGCAACTATCTTGGTCAACTAATAATAGATCATAGCAACGATGTATTTAAACAAATGTGAATGTTGAAAAAAGAAAGAGATATCAATTAAATATTTATCTAAAGTTTATCGTAATAGATTAAAAAATATGGATTAATCTATGGCATTTTATACACAGATACAATACTCGCTGGTACGCGACTCCATTATATGTACAAAAATGTCTTTTGCTGATGATGCAGCGAAGTATGAAAAGTTGCACACTGATGATCGGTAGTCTTTTCTTGCCATCTTTGCAAGGTTACGCTACGGTAAAGTGCGAGCAAATGTATGAGGAATATAAAAGATCTGTATTTTTCTGTAAAAAGTATACATATCTTTTTGCAGCTTATCAACGCATCGCTATCATATTGCATGGTAATTTATTCTAGATGTCAGTCAAAGAAAATAGACGCGCAATAATCTATATATATTTTTGTGGCAACTAATTTATGTTAAATAGAAATCTACATCTGTGAAGAAACTTGTTATTTCAACTGTATTTATATCGTCTCTAGTCTAATAAGTTTCATTAAATTGAGAGACGAGCTATAATAATATTTCTTGAAATAATCAAAATAAATATCTTGAATAATTCATATACGACTTAATTTATCTTATTCGATCGATATTGCAAAATTACGATTAATTTCATAACATACATATGAATTTTATTACATAAGGGAAAGTCGATAGAGAATTAAAAACACGAAAATATTACGTTCGCATACTAGACTGTTATTTTATCGAGTGAAAAATTACAGTTTAAGTTTAAAAGACAACATTTCGAGAGCATACAATGATGACGATCTACAGTCTCAATCGTTTTAATCTGCGGAGAAAGAGTTTCGTTGTGTAAATCGTGATTTCAGCTCTGACAAGAACAGACACTTGAGCAGGCTCCTTCGACATCGCGTTGCCACGCGGTACCTCTTATCTAAACTACAAACGTAATGTCTCTATTCTACGAGAAGCTTCTAACTAGAAGTGCTATCGGCATCGCTTGCAAGAAGAACACGTGCATCTCGTCGTACACAAATCTCTTCGGATATGTCGAGATAGAAATTAGCGCGTCTCGCATCGTATTTTAGTTTTCGGCTGACAGTACGATCACTTGTCTAATAGCATATGCTCGATTCATTTACGATCCTGATCGGGTCGAGTGTTAAACTCCAACGAGCGTTTTATAAATTAAAAATTAAATTTATATAAAATTAATTGTCAATCGCTTTTAGCTGTTTATTAGCTGTTACGATTTCTCTCTTTAATTAAAAACTTATATATTTAATTTACTAATTTATTATATTTTTCTTGTTTAAAATTTATCTTTTAAATTAAAATATATTTTTATATTTATTTAAATTTCTAAGAGAAATTATTATTGTTAATAGAATATTTTTTAATAAATATAACAAGCGTTATCATCTAAGTCATGCGGCGACGTTATTAAATATTCTAATTCTAAAATTCTAATTTTATAAGCATATGCTATATGCTTAGACAATATTCTTATCACACATGTTTACATGTCTGATTCAAGAATAATGATTCCAAATTCATTTATTTTAATAATAAGGATTCGTTATGTTTGATAAAACGAGAAACAGTAAAAGATGTGAGAATTGACATCTGTGTGTGTCTGTGTGATAATAGTGATGATATATGTATAAAGAAGACCATGTTTAAAAAATGTCATATAAAGATATGATTCTAATGATATTGTTAGACGATTGAGACGACGAATAACGAAAGGCCATCTTTCTTTCTCCCCAGTTCTCCCGTTCGAGAGATCTACGATCTCTTAGTACATTTCTCTACCAGTCTCGTTAAATACGCTCTCTTCCGTCCAAAATCTCCTCCGTCTTACCCTTTGTGTAATAAATGTGCGGTAGCACTGTGAAAGATAGACTGTCAGACATGGGGCGTGCATAATGCGTCAAGATTTTCTCAGTTTAGTGTTCGATAGAAATATTAAATAACAATATTCGAATCTCGCAAAATGCAGTAAAAGATATAAAAGATATATATATATATATATATATATATATATATATTTAAAATTAAATAATAAACTTCAATTATATACAGACGCAGTAAATTACCTCAGTTACATTTACAAATGGAACTTTCAACTTTAATTGCTTAAATTTCTCGAGATATTTTAATGACTTTCCGCATTATT